CCGAGGGTTGCGATCCCGTTACCGGTCACGAAAAAAGACAAAAAGGAAAAAAAAAATGAAAGTATGTAAAAGTACAGTTTTATTACTGATTGGTTATGAAGGTCAGGGAAGAAGAATGAGTCGATTTCTGTAGGATTTTTGAGTCCTGCTGTATCTGTAGGATTTTTGAGTCTGTGAGTTCATAGGGAATACTTGTGCTCTTAACACACACACAGAAATAAGAAGAACAGATTTGAGAGAAAAGATGAACTTGATTTTGAACATACTAAGCTTTTTTTTTTTTGAGACCGGCTGCACCGCGCTCAGCCAGTGAGCGCAGTGAACGCACCGGTCATCCCTATATAGGATCCGAACCCGCGGCGGGAGCGCCGCCCTCTCCCGAGTGCCACGGGCTCGGCCCTGAACATACTAAGCTTTAGATAAGGAAGAGCAATAGTAGGTTTGAAGTCAGGAGAGTAGATTTAGCTGTCATCTCTATAGAAGGGATTCTCATCAGAGGAGATTTTATAATCTTCTGAGGACTGATGACAGAAGGAATGTCTTTATTTAGGAATTACAAGAAGAAAATATAGAAAAAATGGTAACCAGAACTGTTTGAACCTTAGGATAATNGAATTACAAGAAGAAAATATAGAAAAAATGGTAACCAGAACTGTTTGAACCTTAGGATAATCCTCAAACGTTGAGATTTCACTACATTTTCCTTTTCCTATCCTTATGTTAAAATTCCCCAAGCGTTGATTTGCATCTTTTCCACCCTATTACTTTCAGAAAATGGCTTTGTTATGCCTGTTCCTTTGTTTTTTATTTTTATGTTACCCCTCTATCCCTGGTAGGTGATTAAATAAGTCTTGTGACTAGTATTTTTACTTTAAGGAATTTTGTCTAAATCATCTTAGATACAGACTTTAACAAAACTTGTTCACATTTTTCAAAAGTCTGCTATGCCTGCTTCCTTCTTTGTCTACATGTTTATTGGCTTAAATTAGGCGAGTATGGGAAACTAGATATCCTTCAACTGGTGGTACTTTCTGAGCTTTATCATATCATTTATTCTAGTTTGTATTCACTTGAAAATTTGGAAGTGAGGCAAACTATATCTAGTTCCTCAAGGGGATATTCTTTACAGGTCTTCAAGATTACACTGATAGTTGGCACATAACAGGTTATGAGTTTTAGCTGATAGTTTCCCCTAGTGTTCCTTTGAAAATCCTGGTTACATGCCATCTAATGCTTTATAAAACCTTTGGATTTTGGAAGAATATGTTTTAATTTTTTGCCATTTGATATTGAAGCATTTGAATCTCAGATAAGGTGATTTGTATTTTTTTTTTACCTGACAGTGCCCATGAGTCTTACTAACCATTAACCCCTTCCCCCATCTGTTTCAAAGCCAGGGAGGCAGCAGTGCTGTTCTGATAGTTCCCAGATCATTTCAAGTATATATGTTCCCAGGGATATTGTCCAGATTCCAAAT